TCCCTTCACTAGGAATGTTAGCATCCCACCATCCAGAAAACTTTCCAAAGGAAAATGTGGTATCCGCCTCTTTAGTTCAGTCCTGAGAAAAATCACAGCAGGGTTGGGCTGGTGATTCACCCTGAGTTCTCCAGTTCCATGTGTTCTGAGTCTCCAACTGTTCCTTTAAGTAAGCAGATCCTTTTTCTGACTAACCAGCCAAAGGGGAAAGTTTTGGTCCAGGCTTCCTCACACCAGGCCAGGGAAGATTTATCACAGAATCCTAAAATCTAAAGACATCCTCCCAGCCCCCTGGGAATGAAGATCATTAGGAGTCTCATGAAGGCAACGAGCTTCTTGATGACGTGCCCAGGACCACACAGCAAATGAGTGTCAGGGCTCCAGATCAGAAAGCACAGAACGTGGACCCCAGCTTTGTGCAGTCTCCGCCTGAGCGTGCCCTTCTAGGTCTCAGCTACGTGACGGAATACCACATTGAGAAGCCCACATTAGATTCTCTCCCAGCTCAGAAAGCAAGGCTGGGAAAATGAGCAGCAGCAGAACTAACAGCCCGGCCTTGTCCAACCCCAACATCTCCCCTTCTGGAAAGATCAGAGAACAGCTCTTGCATCGCTGTCTGGAGCACAGGTTTGAATCTGGGGAAATTCTACTGACTAAGAGAAGGGCATGCCAACATGTGCTGCTGGACAGTCACGGGTCAGAGTTCAAGGTCATAGGTTAAACAAAAGGTCAAAATAGCAAATCATCTGTTAGAACCCCAGCCAATACTAACAGGCTTAAAAGTTGCCTTTTCTCCCCATACAGTGTGCAAATGAGCTGGGTTCAGACCTCCAACCTTCTCCCATCAAAAATGCTCTATCAAATTTCTCCCCTTTAATCCAAAAGTATTCCACAAAAAGCTTGTAACCCACTGTCAACTGACACCATAGGAACACAGTAGAGATACTCGCAGCCAACCAGATCTAGAAGAACAAAGTTCTAGGCAAATTAGCAAATCTAACTAGTCCCTCTGCATGTCCTAGGCGTTTGGCAACCCTAGGAAAGGGCAGATGTTGCCGGCGATACCCAGGGCTTCCAGTGAGAAAATGACAAGCACATCTGGCCCAACTGAACAGGAGCCTCAACCCTCAGGCCCCAAGTGAATGCACACATGCATGTCTTTGGGGCTTCCTCAGAGGCAGGTCCCACCCGTGGGCAGAACAAGGGCCCCTTGCTGCAACTGGCTCTGCTGAGCCTGGTCCCCCACCCCACCTCGATTTGGGGGTTTGTGAGGGTCTCTTCTATGCGGCAGCTGCACTGCCAAAGTAAAACCAGACACTTGAAAAATGTCTGCCCTCTCCCTATGGGTGTCAGCTGCTGGAGCCACCTCCAGAAGCCATGGGGGTGCTAGGAATTCTGATGGATGTTCTCTGAGGACCCCTCACTGCTTTCATTGAGGGGCGTCTCTGACGTCTCCCCCAGCTCGTCGTCTGCCCCCTCTTCTTGGATGGTGAGGTGTACATCTGGGGAAGAGGACTCGGAGCTCACGCTGTCCCCTTCCATGGAGCAGAGCGTGCAGGACAGCGCAGGCGCCACGCTCTCCTGCAGCATGTTCAGCATCACAGGTACCTGCACTGACCTCAGGCCAGACACCACCGGCAGCGGCTTCATGGCCTCCCCCCAAAGCCTCTCCTCGTCTTTGTACAGCAGCAGGAGGCTGGACTTCTTCTCCCGCCTTTTGGACTTCATGTAGCCCAGCATGATTCCAATCAAGAAAATGCCATAGAAGGACATGACAACCAGAACGTAGAAGTACTCATTGCCGTTGCTGTGGCCGCTGCCGCCAATGCTGCCACCGGACACCTGGGCCACGAGGGGATTGCTGGAGGCTGCGGTGCTGGCGTGTGTGCTGTTCAGAGGCTCCATCTTCAGCATTGAAGCACGGTGCACTTGGCTCGGCCTGTCTGGAGAGAAGCTGCAGGTTAGAGCTCTGGCATGGGTCCATGGAACAGGACCGTGAGCAAGCACAGGGTCTGCAGAATCGCCTTATCAAAAAGTCTATATATGCATGAAAAAAAAAAAAAAAAAAAAAAAAAAAAAAAAAAAAAAAACCAGCAGTAAAATGTCTTCCCAAACAGAGAAGTGGAATTAGCTAAGAGGGCTTGCAGTGCCAGTGGGAAGGAAAAAAGTAAGGAGAGTTTTCACTTTTTTAGTGTACCCGCATGTCCTATTTGCATTTCATATGTGTATTACTTTTATAGCTAAAAAGAATTCAATACAAGGCAGGAGAGGGTAGAGAAAATAAATAATCTGTTAAAAATTGAAGAGCATACTCTAACTGACGGAGTAGAAACAAAGTTTACATTTTGATTCTAAAACTTCGAATTACTTTTCATTCAAAACAAAGTTTTCTTACAAGAAAAAGAACAGAAAGGAAAGAAAGAAGCTCAATCTCTATTCCTCATGGTAAATATCTCCCTTTCAAATGTTTCTGAAGCAAAGTAGCATTGCTAACTTACCGAAAACAGACGATTTGCCCCAAATTCCGAATTTCTAAACTGCCGGGTCCAAGTGCGTTTGTTTTCTGTCTCTGTCCGGCTCTGCACTCTGGCAGCTCGGCTGCTGCAGTTCAGATATATAATCAAGAAATGCATCGTCACGTGTTCTGGGAGGAAAATTTACAACAGTTGGTCGCGGCAGCGTGAGCAGTGAACTCAAAGCACTGCAGTTCAACTCCCTGAACTTTACAGCTGTGAAAAGAAAAAGACGGAGAAGTGGGACTCGCTCCCAGAGCCCCAGCACCCAGCCAAAAGTTTCAGGTGGCCATGAACATGAATAAGAAGACAAAGCACTAAGTTGGATCTGTTACCCCAAAGTCTAGTCTCATTGAAAAGTAGTTTATGCTTTCTCCTCCTGTTCAGGAATAGTCATTTTGTCATCTACCAGCAGTGAAATCCCATCACCTGGATGAAAGACAAGTTGAAACCAGGGTGGGATTTATAGGGAGGAAACTAAGGTTTAAGGTATAGTTCTTCCACTAACTATGCAAATGTGATAAATCCTCCCTTAACCTTTCTGCACATCAGATTCCTGATCTGTAAAATTGTTGGGCATGGGAGGCTCAGCAGATAGAATTACATGAGCCATGTGACCGTTTGACTCTCTTTCATCTTAGCCGGTCTAAGATGAAAGGCTGGCAAGTGCAGGTCGGCCCTTGAAAAGCATAGAGAGGTGCTACCTGTCTTCTACATCAAACTCACAAATCTATTTTTTTATGATGATTATTTTTAAAAAGTCTTTCAGATTCTGTTCAATGGTCTTTGTGCAGTAGAAATGTGGTTGCGGTAAAAAGTACCAGGGCAGGTTTTGCTGTGCTCTGCTCCTTCGCTCCTCAGAAGTATCACACAGAGACCTTCACACATCTTTTTGCTATCTCTTCTTGGTCAGGGGAGAAGCAGGAATTCTGGGGAGCAACCAAGCAGGTCAAGTTTGTAACACTGTGTTAAAACGGCTGCTGTGATAAAATGTGGAAGAGGAATTGAAGGCTTTGATGTCTGTCCTTGTGTTCCCTGGGATGCTCATTCTGAGAAAATCTCATTCTAAGGCCAAGCTGAACTGGGAGGGATCCTCAGCCTCCAGTTGTCTGTGGCTGATGGGTTGTAGCCCAATGATCTTGCAAGCCAACTCTGATGGAAACATCTCCTGTCGTTCTTCTGTTGTTAAATTGAAACTGAAGGCAAGCATAACAACATCCCTCTGACCAGTCTGGGACATACAGAGCTTAGACACTGAAACTTCCACTGCTGAAACCTGGGTTAGCTCTTGACCTTAATTCTAATAGGATTTCTACAAAAAGAATGGAAGATGGAGGCCATCAGGTGGCACAGTGGTTAAGACATTGGCCTCCCATGTGGCCCGACTGCTGTTTGAGTCCTGGACCCAGTGGCTTGAAATTCACATTGGGTGCATGTGCATGCATGCCCAAAATCTTAAAAGAGGAGAAGGAATTGTGGTGTGGCCATCCTCCTGGGGTGGGGGTGGGGGGGAGTGGGCCAAGGGGGGATTTCTTGCTTTCTCACTCTCTGCCTCTGTTTCTTTGGCAAGCACACACACTCCATAGCAAAAATCTCTCTAAAAAACAAACAGGGACCAGTAGTTAGCATAATGGCTATGTCGCTGGACTCCCACATATTCGACCGTGGTTCAAGTCCCGGACCCAGTGACTTAACCCTAACTCACTCCAGGCACATGTGCATACATGCCCAAGATCCTGACAGGGGAATAGAGGAGAAGGGATTGCCTCGTGGCCAGCCCCCCTGGGGGGGTTGACTTCTCACTTTCTGTCTCTCTGTCTCTCTCTGTCTTTCTAGCGAGCGCACATACCCTATGGCAAAAACCTCTCCAAAACAAACAAACAAACAAACAAGAATGGAAGATGGACATGCACTGCTGTTTTTCCCACTGGATGAATAATCTTTGATGGTTTAGACTGTGCTCACTTAGAAGTCCCCAGTGGGCACTGAGGTATTGACCATCAGCCATTCCAACACAAAGAACACCAATACAATGGAACTTCACTCCCACTTACATCGACACCCTCACAGTTGCATTAGTCCTTAAAAGCTCCACAGCTACTTTGGTTACAGTGAATTGGCCTTTCCAACCTGTGTGACTACCTCAGTCTACAAGTGGTATATCTGGGATATTATTAAAAGATTACCCATGAAAAGCATGCCTATTGATGCTGATCCCAGCAACTTTTAAAAAAATAATTTTCATTGTGGAGCCAGCAGGTGGCATAGTGGTTAAGATGCGGGACTCCCACATGGCTGACCATGGTTTAAGCCCCAGACCCTGCTTAAAGTCACGCTAATCACATGTGCATGTGTGCCCAAAATCTTGAGAGGAGAATAGAGGAGAGGGGATTGCAGAGTGACTGTCCACCTTGAGGAGTGATTTCTCACGTTCTTTTTCATGTCTTTTTCCAGAGAGTGCATGCACCTTATGGCAAGAACCTAAAAAATAATAATGATAAGTGGGTTTTAATGTAATTCTTAATTTGTGTATTATATTTTACATCTTTTCAGAGCATGTGTACAGTCCATACTAATCAAATCAAGGAAATAAACATACTGCTATCTCTAACAGTTATCACTGTTTATTGTTGCACACATTCAAAATTCATCAATGGGTTATTTGGAGAGAAATACTAAGTTATCACTAACTCTATTTATTCTCCTGTACTGTAATATTCTATTCTCTGTTGCACTTATATACATATGGTCTTGGATCTGTTTACCATGTTCTCCCGATCCTCGGTGCTGTTCATGTGTTCTTATGATATATGAAGTTAGTAATCACCAAAGGATTGCCAAGCTCTGTGAATTAGAATCTTTGAGGGAGCAGAGGAGGTAGGGGGAAGGAATTACCAGATTCACTGCACCAAGCCTGGTGCCAGGAACCAGAGGTTCAAGTTTATAATATCTTTAACTGGACTAATATATAGTGTATCATGCTGGGAAAATTCATTTTGCAAGCTGTAATGATGTATAGTGATTGAACATATTTTAAAAATTAAAAAAAGAAAAAAGAAAGAAATACCAAAACCTGAACCAACAACCCCAAAGGAACCAAACCAAGAAAATACATGGTGTGGGGATGAATTTAGAATGAAAGCCAAAGGACAAAACCAAGTAGAGACATAGGAAGAAAAATATCCATTGCAGGAGTCAGGGAGGGAGCAGTCCCAATGGAATTCTCCTCTGGACACTACTTCTGATTACTACTGATTTCCTATGTGGATCTGTCTCCTACAGTTACATGAAATGATGAAATTAAAGCATTTATCACTGCCTCAATTGAATGTGCATGCATTGTTTATGCTTTATATTGTCATTGTGGTGAGTGCCCTGTTTGCTACCAAGGGCTTCCAGTTGCTTCCTGGTATGTGTGTATGCCTGTCTTTGGCTTTTTCACTGCAGCTCTTTC